CCCCCCCCTCCGGGGGGGGGGGGGGGGGTCGTGAGCGTGTCCTTGAAACTTGAGTTCCAAGTGGCGTATACAACAGATTGTTTATTTACATCAAAACACTGCATGTGCATATGTCCCAGATAAAGTACTAGGCACATGCAAAGAATGAACGGAATCGGTCCAAGGGATTCTGAGATATGACTCTGGACGGACGCACGGACGGAGACCGAATTATAAGTCCCCGTTTTCGGACTTCGTCCGAATGGGGACTAATAACAACAATAAAATCCATGCAATAATAAAGTATTATTTTTCATCCTTTTATGGCCATTGTCAACATTTGTCACGTGCTATGAAATAGTCTTGTTCAAAACTTGCTTGTTTTCATCCAAGATGATCTAATTAGTAGTGTTTATTAGTGCAACAGTAACATCAAATTTGCTCCGAACAGATGGACACACTGACAAACTCAACTCAAATTAATAGAATTTACAGACTGTGAAAAATTCACATGTAATGCTAGATGAAAGATACTTAAAATATACTTAAAATATACCACCAACATGCTGTTTCAATAAAAAATAAATTCCACAACTAGTAATGAAATTGGAAATACTGTGGATTTCAAAAATAACTTATTTTGTATCTACATGTGTGACTTTTCAGCTCAGATAGCACCTGTGTTGAAGCAGTCATAGCGAGAATGAAACTGTATAAAGGCACAGATATAAACGCAGATATTAAGGTACAAGTAACTTGATTGGCTTTTTATAGCTCTTCTTGTCATATAACCATTTGCTTGCCTAATAGAGTACCAGGTAATTGTAATTAATCCCAAAAGCTTATACATCTAGACTGTTTGACTAATTAATTCAATTGTTATTTCTTTTTAGTTCTTTGACATGAGGCTATTGTTCCTGTTAACTGCTTTGTGTTCCCACATCAGGTAAGATTCCTAGTTGTTTTGTTTGTGCAATTTGATCAACTAGAATAAGATTATTTTAATTACAAACACAATAGCTGATGCACATATTGTATTTTTTGCATTGTATTCTTGTTATCTGAGTTTTGTTGGTACATATTTTGCACATAGTTTTTTGGTTTCAGTGTTTCAACTTTGGTTTGATTCCATCTCTTAGGCCACGTTTTGGTAACGATGTTGCAGCACTTTTATTGCTCTTAGAGACATTAGAATCCACAACTCAGAGCGATGATTGTAGTGAAACAGACAACGAAACGATCTACCACATGATGAGTGACAGAGATGCAAACTTAGCAATGGAGGTGCTAAAGACGCTATTCAATGTATCCATGGGAGCAAAAAGAGGAGAATTAGATGAGGTAATAAAAGTATTTCTTTGAAGTTTCATTAGAAGACATTCTCCTTTGAAAATTGACATAAACATCTTATTTTATGTAACTTCATGACAGGAAGAAGAAACTTTGTATGTTCAGCTTGGAGGAATATGTAGAGCACTGTTACTAAGCAAAACATCCACTGATGAGAAGACTGAAGAGCTTCAAAGGTATAGATCAACACTTCTGTTAGGTGTGTTGTTTGGTGATGTTGGACACAGTGTGACTTATGTCCCAAGTGGTGGTGGTGATGTAGTTCAACCTATGACTCTAATGTTGTTGACCAAGTTTGCCCATGACTCAAGTGTTTTTAGGATGGTTTGACGTATGAACCAATTTTTGGGGTGGTTTGACTTGTAACAAGTGTTTGACCTACACCCCAAGTATTGTTGAATGTAGTTTGAAATAAAGTAAAATAAAGTGAACAGTGAAGATGCAGTGGATTTGTTTTCATAATACCTTGTACAGTCCAATACTCTCCTAATGTTGTGTATATGTACTATAGCCTTATTTTTCATTTGATTTTCATACATGAAACCTGTACAAAATGTAAAATTTGGTCACTATAAAACATTGCCAATATGCTTTTAATGTGTTGAATAATTTCAGATTTTTTTTGAACTTTTATGTCACTGCTGTAGTAAAATTGTATAAAATAAACACACCAATCAGTGTGTACCGGTACTTCGTTGACCAGCTACCTTGCTACCCAATCAGTGGGCACGTCAGTGTGTAAGTATATGAGGAAGAAAGCCATCCATGAAACACAAAAACTTACCACATGCATTTGTTTTTACAGCCATACAGTGAATCTACTGACCAATATGCCAAACTGCTGTATCCAGGAATTGACTCCTGAGTGCCCTGATGAGGGCGCTGCTGGTGGAAAGATGGTACATGAAATATACCTTGGTCGCAACATTGATGCCGGCATTGTTCTGAAGCAGTTTCTAGAGAAACGGCTTGAAAGGGTAGGTATTTTAATAGTCTTAGCTAGAGTGCCTAATAATATTATCAGTATGTATTTCAACAAATAATGGGAAATATTTTTTTTTTTTTATAATCATATTTAACTGTGCTACTGTAATATACATGTATGTATGTTTTCCATATATTTAAATTAACTTTCTTGTAAGTTGCATCTGTGCCAAAGATGAAAGAAATTCGCCATTGTTGTCGGGCGAAGGGAAGCACATTGTGTTTGATACATCATGTTCAATAATTAATTAGCGTGTACTCTGTCTATACAGGGTGGTAAAGGTTGTCGTTTAGTAGAAAGTCTCACACCGATACTGAGTGCCTTGCATGCAATTTGTAAAGCAAATAAAAGTATCAGGAAACATCTGAGAAATGAGGTGAGTTCACTTACAGCAATTTATCAACTTGAAAATTAACAGGGGGAATGCTTAATTTTTGACTCCCGTGTGCGAAGCACAAAAAGGGAGTCTTTGCAGTTAGTGTGTCTGTGTGTGTGTCTGTTCCACTGATATCTCAAGAATCATAGATTGATTTTTGATGAAATTTGGTGCATAGATGCTCAGGGCCAATGCGCAGATTTGATTAGGTTTTGGTAAAAATCCATGCATATTAATTATCTAATTTGCATGATAATTAGCTGATTTTTAGCTGTTCCTTGACTGTTCCACTGATATCTAAAGAACCACTCATTGGATTTTGATGAAACTTGGCACATAGATGCTCCAAACTAATGCGCAGATTTGATTTATAGTTTTGGGTAAAAATCTGTGCAATATTAATTACCTAATTTGCATAATGATTAATCAATTTTCGGCTTTTCCACTGATATCTCAAGTACTAATCATCATATTTCAATAAAACTTGGTACATAGATGTCATAGGACACTGCACAAACCTGATATTTTTTAGGGTAATATGAGTACATATTAAATACCTAATTTGCATAATATATTAATTTTCAGCTTTTGATATTTCAAGTAGTAATCATCACATTTCAATAAAACTTGGTACATAGATATCATAGGACACTGCACAGACCTGATAGTTTTTAGGGTAATATCAGTAGATATTAATTACCTAATTTGCATAATTAATTAATTTCCAGCTTTTGATATTTCAAGTAGTAATTGTCACATTTCAATTAAACTTGGTACATAGATGTCATAGGACATTGCACAGACCTGATAGTTTTTAGGGTAATATGAGTACATATTAATTACCTAATTTGCATAATTAATTAATTTTCAGTTTTTGGTATTTCAAGTAGTAATCATCACATTTCAATGAAATTTGGTACATAGATGTCATAGGACACTGCACAGACCTGATACTTTTTAGGGTAATATGAGTACATATTAAATACCTAATTTGCATAATATATTAATTTTCAGCTTTTGATATTTCAAGTAGTAATCATCACATTTCAATAAAACTTGGTACATAGATATCATAGGACACTGCACAGACCTGATAGTTTTTAGGGTAATATCAGTATATATTAATTACCTAATTTGCATAATTAATTAATTTTCAGCTTTAAAAAAAATTGATATTTCAAGTAGTAATCATTACATTTCAATGACACTTGGTACATAGATGTCATAGGACACTGCACAGAACTGATAGTTTTTAGGGTAATATCAGTACATATTAATTACCTAATTTGCGTAATTAATTAATTTTCAGCTTTTGATATATCAAGTAGTATCATATTTCAATGAGACTTGCTGCATAGATCTTCTAGGATTATGCAGAGACCTGATTAGTTTTAATTTGATATTAATTACCTAATTTGCATAATGTCCTACTGATATATAAAGAACCACAAATCGAATTTTAATGAAACTTTTAAAGAAAACTATGCAGAAACCCAATTAGTTTTTGGTAAATATTTATGCTTATTTATCACCTAATTAACATAATTAATTAACACTGATATCTCAATTACTGATCATCACATTGAATAAAATTTGGTACATAAATGCTCTAGGACAATAGACAGGCCTGATTAATTTTGGGTTAAAATTTGTTCATATTAATTCTCTAATTAGCATAATAATTCATAATTTTTTTGTTCTGTTCTGTTCATACTAGTTACCTGATTTACATAATTAGTTTTCAGCTTTTCCATCAATATATCATGTACAAGTAATTTTGAATTTGAATTTATAATGTGTCTTCAATACTCTCAGCACACGGGAGTTCTTTCTAAGCTTTCTTTGATTAGCCTATTGGTTTGGTGGTCCTACTGTCGCCATCGTTTTTCCTTCACTTTTATCAGTGCAGGGTTATTTTTCTAGACAAGATACGTAATATCTGCCATAATTTCACTGTTATCCTGAGAAAACAGTCAAGTGTGCACAAAGACAATATGGTGATCATATCAACTGGAAGCTGACGCAACCCATGCATACTTGGCGGTGTTAGCAAGATTATTATTATTATACATTTTGTTTGTGCTTTTAATAGTAATTTTAATGAGAGATTACAGGCCAAAATGGCAATGAAAAACATTTTTTGTACTGTGTGGTCGTTTGCGTGAATGTCTTGATCCCATCACACACTATAAGACTTCAGCATCCCATCTAAACAAAAGAAAGTGTTTGATTGTGATGTCTATAAAATGGAACGCATCAATGTGTGTGGCGTAGTGCTGATACATTTTAGAACATGCATTGATACAGCTTTATACAGAATGACAATTTCTTCGTTTTTGGTGCTAGATGTATACTAATAAATTATTTTGTCTGTCATAATAGATTTTACCTCCTCTCAGGGATGCATCTAAATTACCAGAAGAGGGAGAAACAATTAGAAACAGGTAAGTTGTGTGAAGCACTGCACAGTCACACAATTGTGATTTAATGTTAACACACAAAACAATGTTTTAATGTCAAACCAAGTGGAACTGTTCATAATTTGGGTCTTCAGTGATGACTCATTGTTATTATATGAGGGAAAAAAACACCTATAAAATTGGGAACTCGATCAGGTGTTGAAATTTGAATGGCTATTATGTTTTTCACAAAAATGGTGAAATGTGTTAGGAAATGGTCAAGGACAACTGAAATACTGTATTTGCTTGTTTTTTTCATGGTTGTAGGCTTGTTAGATTAATGACAAACCCTTCCACTGATGTAAAAGATTTAGTTGCTGACTTACTTTTTGTTCTCTGTAAAGAAAATGGTAAGTAAAACCAAAAGTTTTTTCATAGCTTGCTACCCTGACGTGATTTAAACAAAAATTTAAATGACCAATGACTTCACAAATACATATCATTATACATTGTGTAACACTTTAATATGCACATGCATTTGACTCAATTCAAGATGGCTGAATCATACGTGTCCACTTTAAAGCTAAAAATGTGTCAAAATCAAGCATTTCCAACAACATCACTTTGATTCCGGAACTTAGGTCAAATCAAAATTTGCATATACAAAATATAGCATGTCAAGTTCTGATTCAAAATGACTGACATGTTTCAGTTTTATTTGAGGTTGCACAACATATGTTATGTCAATCACTTGTTGATCTATACTACTCAACAGATGAGTTCTTTTTCAAAAGTTAACAGATAGAGACTTGTATCTTTTGCAGTTGATCGACTAGTAAAGTACACTGGGTATGGTAACGCAGCTGGGTTGTTATGCCAACTAGGATTGATGGCTGGTGGTCATGGTGATGGGGACTATAGCACTGATGAAGAGAGTGATACAGAAGAATATTTGGAAGTCAGAAATAAGTAAGTCTATTGTATATCTTTACATCTATCTGTTTAAATAAAGTAAATACTTTTTAAAAATTCTATATTATTGTAAGCCTTTTTCACATGTGTGTTTCTATTTGAGATGAACTTAAAATATATGCAGCTTTGAAATTTCTAATCACATTGGAGTGTAAGAAAGCAGTCTTTAGACTACATGTAACATTCAAATGCATGGATCACTTCGATAATTCTTTATTATTGCAAGACTAAATGTCTGTTGTCATTATTTCTTAATAATCTCTGTTAATGGCAGTTTTCTTTATACTTATAATGTTACCAGTAATGAAGGTTTAAGTTTTCTTATAAAGATATCCTGGGAACCAGGGACTGCATTAACTCCTTATTCTGCTTCCTGGATTCCAAATGTTGGAGAGGTTGGCCCACTTTAGTACAAAATGAGATTTGCACACAGAATATGAAAATGCCTGCATGATACCAATTTGGAACATAGCATCTCATAGTTTTTCACTGAATGTTGTTTGTCACTCATCCCCTTCTGTCTGTAGTGTAATCTTATATGTAACCTAACATGTTAAATTTTCACTGGAGTTCACACCACTCCTCTTGCAGGATCAATCCTATTACTGGGCGTGTAGAGGAGGATAAACCAGACCCCACTGAAGGATGGACAGAAGAACAAAAAGAATTTCATGCCAATCAGCTGGCTAATATGTTTGATAAATTATCAAGGTGAATTTCATTGATTGTGCTCAATATTTAAACTGTTTGTTTGATTCAACAGGGACTTGTATCTCAGACATGCATGGACCGATTTCATTCAAACTTAACACATACATCATACATAATATTATACATATGCACATCAATTTGCTTCACGACCTGATTCAAGATGCCGAATGGCGGCCATTTCTGTACTGAAATCAAGCATTTCTGGCATTCCAGAACTGGATCTTGGCTGTTTACAGATGGATTTTGTTCAAGCTTGGTACATATATTGAACATTATGGGACCTTGATCCACTTCATTTTGTTTTCAGATCGGGTTCAAAATGCCATATCTCGGAGATGCTTTGACTGATTATGTTCAAATTTTATACATGTATATTCATTATACCGGTACATCATATAATTTTTTTGTACTAAAAAGTCATCAAAAATCAATCATTTCTGGCATTCCTGAACCAGATCTTTGTTTTTTAAGGATGGATTTTGTTGGAACTTGCTACATACATTGGACATTATTGGTCCTTGATGCACATCATTTTTTTTTTTTTTTGTAGATCTTATTCAAAATGGCTGACTGGCGGCCATTCTGTTTTAATGGATGCGATCCTAGAGCCATATCTCTGACATGATTTGACTGATTATGTTAAAATTTTATTTAATCATTATACATCATGTCAGAGATATACAGTTCTACTCAAAATAGCCGACTGGTGGTCATTTTGTTTTAATTATTAGAGCAATATCTCTCAATATGGACAAGTACTCGTTTGAAGATTAGATACAAGATGTAAATAATTTTAATGTTAAAAAATCATCATAATTAAACATCAGCTTCTGAATCCTTATCTTTGACATGTTTATATTCCAGCTATATTACTATAAACAAAACTGTATATCTTAAAAATTTGACAACTAACAGGGACTGTGCCATACATTGCTTGTTTTTACAAGATTTGTGCACAGGCCTTTGTATACCCAAACATCATGGTATATGGTAGGTTAGAGTGAATTAGAATTTTGGATTTTTCTTCCAATAGTCATAAATTATATTACAGATCAGCTACCATTATGAAAAAAGTTTTGTCCAATAAATAAATGTGTTTTCTTTAACAGAGAGGGTGTTATACAACCGATGAAAGTAGGACCAGATGGTAGACCCGTACCAATAGAAGAAGCTGTACACCAGATTGAATTACCAGCAGAGAGTAGTGATCTCAGTGATGTTGACTAGGTTATCCCCATGGCGATGCAATCCATTTCACTTATTTTACTGGCATGCGCACACAAATATATGTAGGTTTCAAATACATTTTTTTTTTGAATACCTTTATGTGCAATTTTAGAATGTTTCGAAATTGCATTATGGGAAATGTCAGACAGTTGCATCGAACAGCAACGAACAACTTTGATAATTTAATTTGTGCTGTATTTTATCAGCTGTAATACGTACAATGATCACAATGGCGGACATAACCGGCTTGTATTATAGTTGATTGTAGACTGGCCCAGCCTTGGAAATTGTAGAATTCTTAGTTCGATGCGAAATTACCATTACTGGTCTATTCCAAGGCAGCTTACAATATTTATCACCTCAAGAATGCAGTGACAACTATAGAGGGCACGTCAGTATTGACCAGTCATGGATTTATCATATACAACAATAAAATTGCCACGAAGGGGCCAGTCCAAGTTGATTGGTGCATTGTGCTGTGTGAATCAAATACTGTGATTCAGATAGAACCCTTCTCTCCCCCTCCCCCCAATTTCTACTGGCTGTAGTAAATTGTGTTAATATTAAAAAACATGTTAAAATATCTGCCACTATAGATACAAATGTCAGTGAAACTAAAATGCTCTGTAAATTCCATGTACTTAGATTTATGTTGCCGAGACTGTAAAATGAGTTCATTACTTTCAGATTTATTTAATTTAAAGCATCTATATGTTTTCTGTAACAAAAGCTATGAAAGGGGACAGTATTATGACAGCCCATAGAGAAATCCTTCAGTAATTAATTTCAGATCTACGTTTTCTGAAGCATTACAGTTTGCAAGTATTTTATTTCCAAATTTCATTCTGATGCAATCTGTGTTTCACAAGTGTAACGCATTGAGAGAAAGCATGACTCATTGGCGCTAATTACTACCAAAGGCCTTATCAATATGATACTAGCAGTTGAGCGTTTTTTCATCATTTTTATTTTGCCCAATCTGGATATACTTTAAATGCATAAAAATGTATCGAATGATACAAAGTTTGTGTACTTTTTACTAGTTCTTCAGAAATCTGGAATTCAAAATACAGGTATTGTTTAGTTAGAGTATTAAACAGTCTCTTAATATTTGCTGGGATTGACGGCTTGGTAAATGTGCTTGGGAGATTTGGTCCAGTGGTGAGGGATTTGCTTTTTATAGCAATTTGTATCTTCAGTCATTTATTTATTCTGGCATGTGCAATATTCTCTCCCATGTTAAACATTAAATTTTTAGTAAAGAAAATCTCAGTTATGTGTTCATTTGTTTCTTCATTATTACGACGGTATTCAAACACTGCTTGTAATTTTCACAAGCCGTAAACATATGCTTGATGTCATATTTACTCTATTAGAAAAGCATATCCAATGGAGGGCATACAATCGGTAAACCATACATTAAAATATTATTTTTGACGATATGTGATTTACCGGTATATAAGCGCAAACAACTGCAGTAATGCCAATGCAGTGAATGTGTGTTACTGGTATACACCTATGGTGGATTATATCCCTACAGGTATATTGATTCACAACCAATTCACATTCGTCCAAAGACACTTTTGTCCCATTGCCTTTGGTAAGCCTTATCGTCCTGTACAGTTTCTACGTACCTTGTGCTATATTATCTTTATGTGTGACTTTATGTATTGGTAACAAGACAATCAAGCTCCATGCATATAAAATACAATGTGAAAGCCTAACATGACTTTGCAACAATATTTACTGTATATTCCAGATATTCAAAAGTAAATAACTTTTACCATTTTTCGGCACATTAATTTGTTATAATCATGAAATATGAATAACTTTATTTTACAATTGACGGATTAACGTAATGCAAAGTGTGATACAATAAACGACTGGGGTTCAGTCTTCGGGTCAAGTTGGTGCTGTTGTATGCACGATGAGTACATGACCACGATTACCGGTAGATACATTTCGTTGTGTGTATTAGAATCAACTTTCAGATGAAGAAACTTGTGGGGGATGAATCAATCGTCCAGGTATAGTGGATAATGCCCGACACGTATGGTACATGTATATATGCTCTACAGGTTCACTGAATTCAGGTGAAGTTTGGGATAAAATGCACCCTTCACTTGAATTTCCATACAGCACCTGTTATCAAATGCCATAACACAATTGATCTCCAAGTGTTTGTTTTCCATAAAAACAGTACTGTAAACATAGCTCTCTAGAAGTAGGAATATACTGATTAAAGGGCAATGGTAGTCACACAGCATGAGTAAACAAACAAATGAATTTTACATGTGTTGTGTACGTCACTTATGGGTTCCATATCAAACAGGATGCAGCATGACGACCACTGCCCTTTAAGATAAAACTTCTAAATATTAGTGTGTTAGCCCCATAGGTTCTATGAGCAATTGTGATGGTGCTTTGATTGACTTCTCAAAAACTTTTTATTGATGGTCAACTAAAGATCAAAATAGGACGTTACGAGTGGCTTTCCTTTTATGTAAAATAAAAGCGCTTAATTACCGGGGGTACAACTTATAATTACAACTTCAAATATGAGTTTTGATTGATGTACTCAACATACAATTGTAATAATAGCTTTATTATACATTTATATACAGTTCCTGATGTTATACCATTATAAATAGCATTTTCGTAATTTATTAATTTATCAGTACCTATAAATAACAATACTACATACAAATTGAGAGAAACCTTTTTTTTCACATCAACAGCACCAAAGTTATAATAAAAAAACAAGTCATTGTAAATGAAATGTTCATTTAAATCGTGACTATTGTAATCAATGTTGGCTCCTAGATATAGGCTGACATAAGTCCTGGATTTATGTAACATGTTACAAATGTATTCAAACAAGTAAAGCCTTCAAATTATGTCAATATAAGCAAGTTGCATATTAGAAGGTTGTGAAACAATAATGAAGTGTGTCTGTAATGACCACAAGCCATGCCATGATAACAAGTTGGATTTTATCATTAAACACAAATGATGTGCACATGGATGCCAATATTGGTCAAAACTGGATGTAGGCACTTACTATTAAACTAGGAAATACATAGAACCAATTGATATAAAAATCTTCACTCTAATTTCAATTGAGATTACAAAAATATGGTACTTCCTACATGTAGTTACACTCATTCAGGTGTCTGAAGTATGTGTCCAGTCAACTGCAAACGACATCAGTTTCACAATAGAATAATATAAGTTAATTAAGAATACAGAATGAACAGAATATTAATTTAGATTCTATTGTACAATACCACCCTATGAATGAGACTTGTATTCAATGAACTTGTAACAAATTCTAAATCCCAAAGAGTTGAATAAACAGGAGACCTATGTGAGAATGGTTTTGCGAACAAAATTTGTCCCAAAGTGGAGATAATACTATCATAAAAGGTCAGTTGAAATAGATATTCTCAGCATCTTAAATATAAATGGTGGGACTTTGACGTGTTTTCACATGCTATGTATACATCACGAAGAAACCACCAGCAGAGCAGCCATGCGCATCAAGCAAAAACAACAAATGCTGTAAATGTCTTTGGTGCCATATTTCATCAGCTAGCAAATCAAGGAGCATTTCGTATTGAAGAGCATCAAATAGGAATTTGAAAGTTATGTGATCACCACCAAATTGAGATACTGAGAATCCATGACAAGAAATGTAAATATCACAAGCTATAAAAGTATAACAAGTAAATTTAAACTTTTTTAAAATCTTGAATTATCGTATATTGTTCTGTTGAAGTTTAGTCTGAAGAAGTAGTGGAAGAACTATCCTCGCTATCGCTACTACTTGACGAAGAGTGTGGTGGTGCTAATTTAACCCTATGTCCATTACTCACGTAGTTGAACGTTCTCTTTGATTGATGCGTTGATATCTTTGGTAAAGTCACTTTATTCTTAACAGTATGGGAATACACATTTCTCCCCAAGCTTAAATCTGCTACGCTTTCTTGAACTACAGCTGACCTCTTAGCAGACGACGCAGAAGTTCCGTAAGTTCGATTTTGTGTTGATGATGGTCCTGCTGATGAATTAGGTAATACTTTACGAGTTGGATTGGTCTGGCTCGTAAGTTTGGTTTCAATTCCAGAGTTCTTACTAGTCACAGGTGCATTTGCTTGATCCTTGACTGAACTGTCACAATGTTTGACATTTGATGATGGTTCTACAACTCCATTTTTCACATTGTTATTTTCTTTATTCACACCTTGGTTGTTTTCACTAGTTATTCCAGTTGTGCTACTCATACTGGCTTCGTCACTCTCAACTTTACTATTGTCTTCATCCTACAAACAATCAATGTAATATTAAAGAGACAGCTGAAAGGTTACTGTAAACTGCTTTAATTTCAGAGGAAACAATTAAAACCTCAACTGGATAAGAATATGAAAAACAATAATGCTATAACAATAACACCAGACTTCAAGCAAACTATTGCATAAAAAAATGGTCACAAGTTGGTCATACAAAATAGATAAAACTGTACACACACAACTGTATACGCAAGTATAACATCACGTTGCACCAGTTTTGAACAAAACTGATCATTTCATGTAAATTACATATTATCAAGGTGTGCTGGAACAGGCCTGCAATTAATAACCCATATTCAGAATTTATTGTAGTCTCAAATACATACGCATTGGGACTGTTGACATGAGTTTCCAACATATAATACAGAAACTCATCATGTGACAATTTGATCAATCATTACTGTTTCTATTTTTGTTGCAAGCAAATTAGGCTCAGAGCAATTAAGGTCAGATATAGTGTCACTCACAAGAGATTGTAATTTAGTGCATGTGTTTCTATTTTCATACATGTTCAACTCACCTTTTTGTTCTCACACTGTTCTATAATAAGATCATCCATAGCTTTCTTCCAGCCTAAAACCCTGGCAAATTTTTTAACACCTTCCACAATGTCACCGACTTCAACTACATCATTGAACCTAGAATTTCTTGCAAACGGCCCAACAGCATTCATGTTGATGAGCAACCTTGGTATGTATGACCTGGTTGAGTCGACAATACCAGCAAATGGATAAACCTGCCAATGATAAATGTGCATTCAAAAATAAGCAAATAAGATGCGGCATCGATTAATAAAATTGCAATCGAGCTGCGTCATAATACCTTGGAATCGGTCTGAACTGAATCATACAGCACTAATTAGTATTACTTGCACATGGACTGATTTACTGACATAGGCATGACCTCCAAAAATCAAACATCCTGGTACTTTAGGGGGATACAAATTCATTATCAATGAACTTCAAACCGCTTAAAATAGTTGACATATAATACTGTTGTTATGGCCATCAATACCCCCAGAAAGTACCAGGATGTGTAACCTTTAGGGGTCATGCTTAAAGCCTATTTCAGTCCATATGCAATACGAGTTTGCAGCCAGGTACAGTCATATCTGTGACAAACATTATCAAGACAATGACAGTGCAGGTTTGGGTTAGTGTAGGTAAAACTTTCAGGTAAATGCTTTTCATTTACATTTCGCTCTATTCAAAAACTTTAAATATCTGAATACCTCTAAGGATGTTCCCATGACAACCAATAAATCACACTGTGGAAAGTCTTTCAGGTAATAATAAAACCTTTTGGGTAAATCCTCACCAAAAAACACAATGTCAGGTTTGACAATGCCCTGAAATATAAACAATAGATTAGTTTGATTCTGAAATTAGACTACATGTGCTTTGTTCTACCCTTGACAATACAGAATAGTATCGTTACCACAGTTCTGAGTTTGTCTCGTTTTCTAATCAGCCTAGCGTACACTCAGAGTGGTTATGAAGAGCACAACTAAATCATTGACAACAAATGATTACATCACTTAATAAAATAAGCAAAAGTAAAATCCAGTGAAAATACATTTTTCCTTTATATTGCATGTAACCCAGTGAATGAGTCAGAACAAGTAACACACAATGCTGGTAACCCACCACCACCACCACCACCACCACCACCACAAAAAACATTTACATTTTATTGCCAAATGAATAATTCTATTTATGAGTATGATTCCACATATACATTTACGCTATGGGGAGAATAACAAAGTCATTGTTTCCATGGAAATGCCGACTTTTTATTTGCTTTTTTGTCATTTATTTAATGAAAATTCTAAGTTTTCACTGAATTCACTCAGAAAAATATGAAAAATTTATAATGCTAATTTTAATGTTATTACATGAGCTGGTGTAATCACTGTTTTACATTACGGGACTCAGAATGAGAGAAATAAGCAATTATCTTGGGAAATGATGGCAGGTCTCTCCTAAATAACCCTTATACAAACAATCACTAAGGAAATGAAGCCAAATATAATATCATATTTACATATCAGGCAAACCAAGATGATAAATTATTCACAGTTATTCATATCCTGTTATTAGTTTGAAAAACCTGTATAACTTCACACAATGCAGCTGTTCTGACTAAAGTAGTAAGTGAGAGTGCTAATTACCGTACACACAGGTGCTTTACAACGTGGTACTTTACCAGTCATGATTTTGTCCTTGATTTCATCACTGCTGTGTTTCAATCTACATCTTACACAGGAAGATGTGGCAAAAGTACCATGAGCTTCTACTAATTTAGATGCTGGAATTCCTGCCACTGACAAAAACAGAAAAAAACAATGCAGACCATTGAATGGTATTTCAAAATGTAAATATTGCTACACTTATACCGGTAGTATTTACTATCAACTTATAGAAAATATATGTAAATTTTTCAAACAAAAATGCTCGGAGAAAAAAAGAATAAAAGTTTTTAATCAATTTTTTATCAAGTATTATAGTTTTATTTTTAAAATGTCCTTAAAATTTATTCATTTTTCATGAATATTAAATATTCCCAAAAACCAAAACAAAAAATAAAGTGCAATAAACAGAAAAACTAATATTTGTTCTTGGCATAATACTAATAACAATAACTCATAATGTTGCACAAACCAACTTGACTTGACTTTAAAAAAAAAAAAAACAAGCAAAGGGTACATTTGAAGGTCCATGTTACACCTTTTGGGGGTTGTTTTGGCAAAATATTAAAATATAAAAAAAAAGAATTGGATCAGCTGCGCGTACATGTATTATTCCATCAGATGACAACACTCGAGACATACCACTATATTAACCAATTTAGTGTGAGACTATCAGACTTACATCTTTCTAGTCCATCTATATTCTGAGTATACATTCTCAGTAACAATCCCTTCTCATGTAGCATCCGCACAAAGTAATGCACATAATTTGGTGAGTAGTTGCCAGGATATAATTCTTTGGCAAGGGTGAAAAACGGTCGAGCATCTCGTAGAAGGTAATCAATATCAAAAATAGCTTCAGGATATGGTATTCTGTATTTTTTTAGATTGTCATATAAACCTGTTCCTGGGGTTCTGAAAGCAAAAATAAAATACATATTAAATAAAAAAATATATTGTTAATTTGATATAAACCAGAAACAACTGAAATTGCTTATGAACCCACATTAAATTGTATTTTTATAAATAATTCAAGAGTAGTACAAAATAAATAAATTATTGTTTTGAACTTTTGTACGCATCAATAAATCAGCTCTTTATTGGCTGAAAATTTGTTTTGTACACCTAGCCAACAGCTGATTGGCTGCCATTACAGCAATGTTGCTTTCAGGAAGCCAGTAGATTGTTATCTGATTTGGAGGCAACCACTAGATTGTTATCTGATTTGAACAACATTGATTGCAACACAGACAATTAGCCAACTATATTGTTGGCTCTGTGCACAAAATAAATTTCTAGCCACAGCTCAGTTGATCAGAAGCCACTATTACATAGGGTGTATTCTACATATCGGGTATATCACAAGCAATCCAGGAACAACGATATAAATTGGATTTTTTTTTTCATTTACCTGAAATCTGGTATTCCACTGGGAGTGCTGATACCAGCACCTGCCATGACTACTATGTTTTTACATCTTTTATTTAAAATAAACCGTGCTATATCTTCAATAGTATTGCAGTCAGTGCTTTTACTTTTTCTTGTGGTGGTCAAAGTCCTCTTTGTCTGAGAAACACTGGAGAAAGCACAAAATAAGTCATTTAAAAAAGTATACCCAATAAAGATGAGATGACTTTACTGCATTCGCTCTATTGTGAGTTCATCCCCAATAGAAGTGCATATAAATCACATATTGAATCTTTGAAATCTTATTTATTCTGACCATGGAAATACCTACATTTGCTACTAATAGAGCAATTACGGTATACCAAGTTTACTCTTATGTCCCAAACAAACATACGCCCCGGAAAATTTTCAAAATGATCGGTAAATTGTTTCCTTGCATCTAAAATGTGCTCTTACTGGTGTATATGCAAACTTTACACTGTCCCTTGTAATTAGGAATATAAATGGACAACAAATGATACATTACTAGCAATATACTTCAAATCTCTTGGTTTGCCAGGCCACAAGATCTAATCAAACAAGTAACCTGTAGAATGCTGTGTGGGTAATATTTTTATATTGAATTTTGTTGCATTTGCAGCAAATAGTTACCAAACAATGAGAAATCTATAGGATTGGATATACCTCTCAGCTGGCTTCACATGCATAGTTCAAGACTGCCT